GCTGACGGGGGGGAAGAGGCTGTGTCCTTCGGGGCTTCGCGCGGCCGCTCCTACTGGCCGCGCCCTTCGGGGGCCCACACCTTGCGCGATGGCTCGGTCGCGATCCACGGGGGGCCCTTGACGACGGGGGGGGGGCGTTCCCGGGGGCGGAGCGGACGACCCTCCACCATTCAGCGGACGAACAAGTGGTGGAGGTCGAGGTGGAGGACATCGACGCCGACGGCGGCCCCCCCAGCGCGAGGGCCGGCGCGGGCGTCGCGCTCCGACAGCGCCAGGCGGGGGACCACCGCGAGCCGCGGGCAGCTCTCCCCGCGCCTGAGCACTGTAAAGCTTCGCCGCTTGGGCGCCGCGCCCGCCGCGCGGCGAATTGATTGCGCCCGGGGGGCAGGCGGGCCGCCGCTGCCCCCGCCCCTCGCGCAGCGCAGGGCCCGCCGCCCGCGGCGGCCCCTGGCGCGCGCCCGGGCCCACCGCCTCCGGCGATTCCCTCTGCGCGGGCGCCCGCGGACGTCTGCCCACAGCCAGCTCCCACTGGGAGTCTGGCGCCGGCAAGCCCCGTCGAGGCGCCGAGTCGCGCGCGACCCCGCGGGCGCTTCCGCCGCCGCCGCCGGGCCCCAGTCGAGAACCCGGTTTGGAAGCGCAGCTCCGACCGCGGGCTCTTTGGCCCACGCTGCTACCCCGTCAGCTGGTGCCACGGCGGGTCAGGCAGGTCCCTCGGATGCTGAGCTGCGCGAGTCGGATTTCCACTCGGTCGATCCTTTGTCCCAGCAGCCCAGCGATCCCGCGACGCCGTCGGCGCTGCTCCAGCGCGTCGGCTGCGTGCTGCTGGAAACTGCGGCAGGCGCGGGGCGGGCCGCTGTTGGCGGGGCAAGTGGCCGCGCGGGCACCGGGGGCCCAGGGTCGAACCGCGCGGGAGATCGTTCGCGCCGACCTCCGATCCAAAATCTTCGCTCGCCACGGCCCCCTTGCGGAAGCCAGCCCGCGCGAACCCGCCGCCAGTCGCTGCGCGCTTCGGCGACGGGGGCGGGGTCGCGCCCCTCGCCTGCCGCGCCACCGCGCCGGGGGCGCGCCCGCTCAATGAGGGGGCCCGCCCGCGCGGAAGTCGTTTATAGGCCTCGCCGCTTCGCGCTTCCAGGTCGCCTCCGCCCTCGCCGGTCGGCATCGCCCTCTCCAGCGATGCCGTCGCGGCCCCGCGGGAAGGGGGTCGCGCCGCGGACGGGGCGCGCGCGCGGAGCGCCTCCGCGCGCGGCAACCTCGACGGCTGGGCCAGGCGCGCCGTCTAGCGAGGTAGCGCCCACGGCCCCTCCGTATAGCCGCGCGCCCGAAGCCGCAGCGGCGCCGCCGGGCCCCTCCCGCTGCCGGCGCCGCGCCTAGCGGCCAGTCTCCGGCTATTTTGTCGCCGGCGGCCGCGGCGCACGCCGCTCGCGACCTTGCTTGTCCGCCCTGTTCTTTCCGCGAGGAGTCGGCGCCGCCCGGGCGGCGGGTTGCACGTGGCGCGTGGAGGTGACCGGCGAGCCGGCGAGACAACCGCCGTCGTCCGCGGGCTGCTAGGGGGGGGGCGACCTGTTCCAGGGCGACCAGTGGCGGCTTCGATGGTTCGCGCCCGACGGGCCCGACGTGATGGACGACCCTTCGGACCAAGTCTGCCTCCGGCAGGCTCTCGAGGGCAACGGCGTCGGTTTCAAACGGGCGGCGCGTGCCCTGTAGAGAGCCCCGACAGGCTGCTCCCCGCGAGCTCCTCGCTGGTTTGGGGCAGTGAGCCACCCGCGGCGTCGGACTGGGGCGGCCGCGCCCGGCACATCGCCGGGGGGCCCACCTTGGCGGCGTCGACGGTCACCTGGGGCGGAAAAGTCGGCGAGCGCCTCGGCTGGATCGGGCTCGAAGGTGGCAACTCTCATGCCTCGAAGGTCGAGGCTGCCGCGCGCCGCGTCGCCCGCCCCCATCGCACTTGCGCGCGAGGCCGCGGCCGTCGACTCGGGTGTCGAGTTCGACGGCAGGGAGGAGCGTCTCTCTTCGCCGCCAGGTTCGCGTTGCCGCGAACTTGGCGGCGAGGAAGTGCGGCGCAGGTGTTGCCCCTGGGCTGTTCCCGCGGTGCGCGCGCAGCCTCTGCGATCTCCCTGCAGGCCCTGGGGGGTGCCGCGCCAGCCGCCGCTGCGGCGGCCGCTGCGGCAGCCCCTGCGGCGTCGGGCTTCGGGCTCAGCCCAGCCCGCCCCCGTCCCCTCGCGACCCCTGCGCGCAGTCTTACCTCGCTACTCCCTTTCTTGATCGATGATCGAAGTCGGTCGATTCCTGTGAGCTCTGGCTCGTAAAACACTCGCGCATCGCACCTGCCACTTTGCACCGCAGTGGGCGCTTGCTTGCTCGATTTCTCGTCATCTTCGGCGCGTGGCTTCATGGCGAGGGTCTCCCGCATTATATTCCTGGGCGCGCGACCCTTGGCATCCAGTCCGCGCGCCCTCATTGGCGCACGTTCCTCTCGGAAGCCCGCGACGTCGCCGAGTCGTGGAAATGGGCCGCGCTTCCTAAGCCCTGGTTGCCGCTGCCCCGCGTGCAACCGCGCGCAGTAGTTGGCCTCAGTCTACTGCGGGATTGGCCACTGGTGGCAGCGCTGCTGCTCATGGGTGTCACCATGTTCCGCAGACCTGGAGCGTTTGGCGGCTCGCCGCCATGATTTTTCGCGGCCCAGCGATCGGCTTGCATCCAGCGGCGACGCCTTCCTCTCCACGCATGCGCCGACGATCCGTCGCACTTATCCGACCCAGCATGATGGTTGCCCAGGCAGGTCTGCGGTGAGGCTGTTGGAACACGTGTTTCAGCATGCGTGCCCCAACGATCCGCTCACGCCCTTCGGGCATGCGGCTTCCGCACTCGGTGGAACCATTTGCGTTCGGCCCTTGGCGTCTCGCGTGTAAAGCAGCCCCAGGGTTGAACCTCGCGCGCGCCTGTCCGTGGGGTTCAGAAGCGATTGATCTCTACATGGCCACGGACGACGTTCCTCGCGTCTTCCAGCGCGGGCGGCGGCGCCGAGCCCCTAGCGCGAAGCGCTGTCTGCAGGCCGCCGCCGCTCCGTTTGTTTCACCTGCCTTCAATGTGCTCGCGCGAACGAGTTTCGCCTTCTTCGCCACTGCTGGCGGCCGCCCGCCGAAACTTGGTCAATTTGCCAGGGCATTGAGCGCGGGTGCGGCTGCCTCGCCGACGTCGGCGATCTGGCGGGCATCTACCACCTGAGCGGCGCCGCGCGGCCCGCGCGCGCTGGGCGCGCCCGCGCCACCCTGGCCCCCCCACCACGCGCGCGCGCCGCGGCCTCCGCGCGGAGACTGCTCGCTAGCGCCGCTGTGGGATAACAACACTTCTTATTATCATCACCTCCTTCGCCCTGGCTGTTCCCTGCAGTTTTTCGGCCCCCCGTCCTCTCCCCCCTCCTTTAATACCGAGGCCGACCTTCGGCGCTGCTGCCTCGCCGACGCCGGCGATTTGGTGGGCTCCACGACCTGAGCGGCGCCGCGCGGCCCGCGCGCGCTGGGCGGGCCCGCCCCGTTCCGGGCCCCCCGACGCGCTCGCGCGGGGAGACAGCCCGCCTGCGCCGATGCGGGAGAACCCCGATCCTTCACCCAGAGTTTTGCCAACTGCCCCTGCCCCCCTGTTTTCCCAATCTTGCCGGGCGTGCGCGCAGGGCCCTGGCATTTAGATTCCGCCGCGCCGTTTATACATTCAACTCATGAAGTTTGACGACGCCCTGCCGCCTCACCGGCCGCAAATCCACGCACCACTATTTTGCCCCACTCCCCTCCCGATTCCCGTGCGTGCGCCCTCATGGGTTGTCCGAGCCGCGCCGCCATGTTGATGCCCAGCTTCGGACTTCGGACATGTTTGAGCTTGTTTGCTGAAGTCGGGGCATGCAGCTGGGCGTTTCTGCCCAGCGGCTGGCCCATGGAAAAATTGAACGCGCATGTATCTGACATCTGGTTCCTAACCTCTGGCGCACAAGATTTACTCATGACGTTCGTTGCGCTGTGGCGGAAGCCCGCCCTCCCTCCTTCCATCCCTCTCCGCCCCCCCCCCCACCTCGGCGCTCGAGGGCCGCAGGCGAAGCCTGGGGCCCATCCCCCCTTAACCAGGCAGCGGCTGCCGCCCCCCGCTGCCCGAAAGGGGTCGGGGGCGTGCGGGCGCGCCCGCGCGGCGATGGCCCGGAGTGCCTCCGCGCCCTGCCTGGCACCGGACGGGGGGGGAGAGCCCCCCAATGTTTCGATATAGTCGATCTTCGATGCTCGGAAATCTTCGGTTTTCGAACCCGAGGATCTGGAGGTTTGGGCATTGTTTTTTACCACTTGGGTCCTTTTTGAACCCTCCTGGGGGGTTCTCGTTGGGCCCTCCTTGAGGTCCAAATCCGAACGCACCCCAAGAGAGATTCGGGGCAGTGATGGCACAGTCAGCCGTGCAGGATTTTACGCGGAATGATTTTGTTCAATCCCGCCGATTTTCTCCTATGTCACGTCTTGGGGACGCTTTACGTCGACGGCGACAGCGACGCCGGAACCGACGAAGGCGACGGCGACAACGACGACGTCTACGATTGAGGCGGCGGCGACAACGGCACCGGCGGCTGCAACGGTGACGACGGGGACGATCGCGACGACTCCGGCGACGTCGGCGGCGGCAGCGGCCTTCCGTGATTGCGCTTAGGAAGTCCATGCAGGGCCGCTGGAAGGTCCCAGAGGTGCCCAGCGAAGGCAAAAGCCAGCGGAGCGGGAGAGAAACCTAGGGGTAGGGTGGGTGGGCAGCATGGTGTCGCCAACCTCGCACTCAAGTTGACCCCTAGCGTGCGCGCAGCATTATCGCAGCCGGTTCTGACCCTGAAGACGACCAATCGCCCGCAACGCGCTGCCAGGAAAAATGGTTGAGATCAATTCAATCATTTACCAGAGGCCTTGTCTTTAACTTTTGGTCACCCCGTCGCCGGCGGCGGCGTCGTCGGCGCTGGCTTCGGCGCCCCGCGGACGCAGTCGCGGCCTTCCAGCGGGCTGCAGCCGCGTCGGCCCCAGCAGCGCCCCCAGAGCCGCGGGTACCGGTCGCAGGCGCCGCCGGCCCTCGGCGCGGCCCCTCAGCCGGCCCTCGCACGGCCCTCGGCGGCACCGGGTGGCCTTCGGTGGCCTTTCGGCGGCCACTGGCAGCCTCTGGCGGCGCTCGGCACGGCTCTTCGGCGGCCCCCGGCGGCCTTCGGCGACCTTGGAGGCATCGGCGACGACGACCTCGACGATGACGCTTGCGACCACGATCACGACCACGACCACGACCGCGACGAAAACGACAACAAAGACACAGACAAAGGCAAAGTCAGAGACAAAGACCAAGGCAAAGGCAAAGGCAAAGACAAAGGCAAAGACACAGACGACCACGGACGACGACGACGACGACGACGACGACCACCACCACGACGACCATGACAACTACGACAACCACTACCACGACCACGACGACCACGACGACTACGACGACCACGACGACCACAACGACCACGACAACGACCACGACGACGACGACGACGACAACGACCATGACGACGACGACGACGACGACGACGACGACGACGACGACGACGACCACGACCACGACCACGACGACGACGACGACAGTCTCTGACGGTGCCGCGCGACAGTCTCTGACGGTGCCGCGCTGTCGGCCGCGCGGCCGACGTCCCACCCGCCCCGCCAGCCCCGCGCTTGCACTGGCAGCACAGTCCAGCCCTCACCTCACCCTCGTCTGCCCCAGCTCGCTGGCCAGCTCCTCGTCCTCGGCGAGCCTCTTTGCCCGCTTGCCCTCCTGCACCGCCGCCGCGCCCAGCCTCCCCAGAGGGCCCGTCCTCACCACGGTGGCTCCGAGAGGACCGCGACGATGTCATCTTTCGTGCCGCCTCCGTCTGCGGCTTCCTGGACCCTGTTCTTGATCTGGGACCGCTTCCAATTGCCGACGTCATCCATTCCCTTGCCCTTTAGCTGCTTCCCAGCCTCCTGCCTTGCAGCTTTGATGATGTCCTGCACCCCGCTGCTGGCCCCGCGATTGTCCTCGTCGCCGCTGCTCTCCAGCTCCTCCTGCCCGAAGCCGAGGTAGAACTCCATCAGTCCCACTTCCAGCTGCTGGTCAGTTTCGTGCCACATCGGCAGCCTCGCTCACGTCCCGCTGGAGCTCCTGCAGGTGGCAAGCCACCTCAGCAACCCTCTCCCTCGCCACCTGGGCGTTTTCGCCCTTGTCAGCCTGGCCCTTGGCGCCATCCGCGCCCTTCGCGTCCAAGACAGGCTCGAGCATGCATGGACGCCCCCAGCGCTCGGCGTCGCGGATCGCCTCGGCGAGCAGCGCGTCGTCCGACTCCGCGTCTTGCTTATCCTTCTTGCCCTTTTTGCCGTTTATGCCCCTCCAGAGCAGGGGTCGCCGCCAGCGGCGGCGAGGGCGCATCCGCCGCACGCGCCGCCCTCGCACCGCGCGCCGCCGCAGCCGCCCGCCGCCCCAGCCAGCCGCTCCAGCGCGGTTTCGGCCGAGGGCCAAGCCTTCGCCGAGCGTGCCGCAATCTCTTGCGCCGCCTGCCAGCGCGCCGCCCGTTTGGTCTTGCCCTGCGTGAGCTGCCAGTCGTCGCCATCCTTGAAGCCCTTGCGTTCCTGGTCTGAGGGGCGCACGCCCTCCGCAGCTCCTGCAAGTGGTTCTGGGCCGCCGCGTTACCCTCCGTCCTCTTGCCCCCCACGGCCTTCGGCAGCCGATCCGCGGGCCCGCGCCGCGCAGCATGTGCGCCGCCCACGCTGGGAACGACCGCCTCCTGCACGTCCTCCGGGCCGTCTTCCGGCATCACCAGCTTCTCGACCTCGCTGCCGTCGACGTCGTTCGTGAGCTCCTGACTCGGGTGCCCTGCACTCCGTAGCAAGCGGAGCAACTCCTTGCCTTGCTGGGCCCCGGTCGCGCCCTCGAGAGCCGCAGCACCCCCATCCACCCGCTGGTGCAGCAGCACTCCGATGCCCGCCAGCAGCACCCAGACAGCTGCGCCGCAGCCGCACCAGCAGCCTCCGCCAGGGAGGCCCACCGCCATCGCCATGCCGCCGCCCTCCACCACGAGCTCTGACAGCGGGCCGCCATCGCGCCCTGCCGTGGGCGCTAGTCCCTGACCAAGCACCGAGCAGCCCATCCTGGGCCCTGGAGCCAGAACTTGAGCCAATATGGCTACGGACGCCGACTACGCCGACCACGACGACGACGGCGACGACAACGGCGACGACGGCGATGACGCTGGCGGTAGCAGCGACATCGAAGACTCCGACGGCGGCGAGCCTCGGCGGCGACGGCGGCCGCGGCTGCGCTGTAGGAGGAGGAGGAGGAGGAGGAGGAGGAGGAGGAGGAGGAGGAGGAGGAGGAGGGAGGGAGGAGGAGGAGGAGGAGGAGGAGGAGGAGGAGGAGGAGGAGGAGGAGGAGGAGGAGGAGGAGGAGGAGGAGGAGGAGGGGGAGGGGAAGGGGGAGGAGGTAAGAGGTGGTGGAGGAGTTGGACGGGAAGGAGACAGGGAAAGGGATATGGGAGGAGGGGAGGAGTAGTAGAAGGAGGCGGAGGTGGAGGAGAGGATCACGGGGTTTTGATGATTCAGGATTGGACGGCCCGCGGGGCGTCCTGAGTACGGGGCAACGCCAGTACGATTTCGAATGTGTCAGGGCAGATGACGAGCCAGAGCTTCGTGCGTGGTTGAAGGAAGGCGTGGAGAAGAAGGAGGAGGAGGATAGAGACTGCCCAAGAAGGTACCGACGCCATCTGCAACAAGTGGCCACATTAACGGGCCGCGTCCGAACGAACGATGATTAGAGGAAAGGGCATTCGATCCCCTGCCAAAGCTCAGACGCAGGGGATTCGCACAATCTGCGGGACCCACTTGAAGCAAATCCAAGGGACATGAGGTGGGGCGGAAGGAAAAGACGACGACAACTAGGAGGATGAAGGATATGAGTCGGAGAATGACGACGATAGACGGCGACGACGACGACGACGAACGGCGTGTCGCCGTCGCTTGTTGGCGCGAGGCAGGGAGAGGGGGAGAGGGACTGGGCGGGGGGGTGCTCGTAATCCCCTCTCTTCCCTTGCTCCCTTCTTGATGCGATTCCCCTATCTCTACAGGGCACACTGTTCAAAAAAATGTGTCGTGCCCGTTCCTGGTCGTTTTCCCTCCCCTCCAGGTGGCCCCCATAATCATTCGGCCAGAGCGCGAGCGTTTTTTCTGCCCTTCCGCTTTGCGTTGGCGAGGTGTGAGATTATGGCAAAGTCTTGTGGGTTCAAATTTTCCGCGGCGATCAGCGATCATGCGGACTTCTGAAAGAGGTGGGAGGAGTGAATGCCAGCAATTGTGCAGCGTCGCCCGCGTCATCGTCTAGCACGGGCGGTCCCCCCTTCCTCCCTTCCCATGCTCTCCTCCCGAGGCGCTGGAGCTGCAGGTGCGGCTGCAGGACGGGAGGGCGAGTGTGTGTGTGTGGGGGGGGGGGCGAACCAGGCCCTCTCCACTCCTCTAACCCCCCACGTCAGCAGGGCCGCAATTACGACGACGCCGCTCGCAACGACGGCAACGAACATGGCACGACGACGACAACAGACGGCTGCAACGACGACGGAAGTGCCGACGACGACGAAATTGAGGCACCGCCGACGACGTCGGCGGCGACGACGACGGCAACGTCGACGTCGACGTTGACGTTGACGTTGGCGCTGACGTTGACGCTGGCGCCGCCGACGAGAACAGCAGGCGCCGCGCGAGGGCCGGGGCGACTTCCGTCCTCGCGAGATGTCGGGACGAGGCGGGAGATGCCAGAGTCGGGGGTTGCTAAAGGTGCCCCCGAGGGCCCAAAAGTGCCCCCAGCTTTTCCCTTCCTTCTGGAGTCCCTCTGTAGGGCCCTCTGGGCATCGTGAAGGGCTCTCTGTAGGCCGTGGGGGCCTCGTTGGAGATCCCGGGGGCACCTTTGGGGGGTGACACTTCCAGCAACACCCGACAGAGGCGGCACCGACGACGTCGATGTCGACGCCTCCGCCTCGGATGTTGTTCTGCGCTCCAGCCCCCGCGGGGAGCGGGGCGGTGGGGGCCTCACCATTGGATGAGGACGAGGACGCCGACGACGAGCAGACGACGACGTCGATGCTGGCGACAGTTGGGTATAATTGGCCACGCGCAGAAGGGGGGCAGGGGGAGGGGAAAGGCTCCTCCTGCTGAGAAGCCTCTCCCCCTCCCCCTATCCCCTTGCGCGTGCCGCCAAGACGACGGCGTTGGTGCCGACGACGGCGACGTTGATGCCACCGATGACGACAACGTTCATGCCCGCGAGTTGGCTGGCTCAATCGGGCTCACCGTGAGATCCATGGGTGGCAGCACCGCGCCTGCTGCTTCGCAGGAGTTCCCATCGATTCCTGGACGGTTTTCTGGAGGTTCTAGTCGCCGCGGCTAGACGCAGCTCGGAAAACTGTCCATGATGGACCCCGCAAGGAGTTCGGGGTCCGATTTGGGGCGGATTTTGTCATTGTCGTCGTCGGCCACATGTTAGTGAGGATGGTGGCGCAGCACGTGGCACAGGAAGAAGGCGGAGCGAGGTGAACGGAGGGTGGGTTGGAGTGGCGAGAAGGCATGGCCGCATGACCAGCGTTGCTGTGTTGATAGTGTTACGAGCCGCGTGGCACGTGGATGGCATCATGTTCTTTGGAGCGGAGGGAGGTATGGGAAGGGGCGGAGGGATGGCGGAAAAGGGGGCAGCGGAGGTTCTTACATGTTTGGGAAGTCGAGAAGCGACTCAGGGAATCTTGAAGTAGAGCGGCGCATGGCGTGTGGAGGATTCATCCCAGGAGAGGTTCATATTGGAAACCATGGCAGCTCAGCCAGATATTCGTTTAACGGGAAGAAGCGTTTCAAATATAACTTGCTGGAGGTCCGCGTGGAATTTTGGGATTGGCGCTGGCCCCCTCCCTGGCGCGCGGAACGTGCCAGGGGCGGCGCTTGGGGGATCAGCACCGAGCCAAAAAATCCTCGCGGACCTCCGAAAGCGCACGTCTGTTTAAGCAGTTGCTTGTCCTCCTCGGACCGTGCACTCTATGGGCTACGACAGCTGTACTTTTTTAACCACATGTGCCGTCTGAAGCTTTGCAGCGCTGGGCGATGGTCTGGGCAGTAGCTGGGTGTGGATGCACGTGCTAAACCAGCGGCCCATATCAGGGACCGAGCGGAAAACTTCGGCGGATGGTACTGCCGAGGCGGACCGAGACCCCTTCGGGTCGTGAGCCAAGTCGCGGCAGATTGTTTTTCTCACTTTTCGGTCTCTGCGGGCCTTTACTGGCCCACCAGGCGGTGAAGAGCCGTATCGGGATGAGCAATCAGTCCCAGGGAGAGGGTCGAGACATCTGTCCAGGCGTGCACGTTGCGGGACAAACGTTACGTCAGAGATCTGCGAAGAATGAGGTTGAGCCTGGTTCGGAGATGGGCGGAGGCGGAGACGGAGGTTGAGGCGGCTCGTGCAGTGCCTCCCTGGGCTTGCGCCAGGTGTTTCTTCAGCCAGCGCACAGCCCTGACCGGATAGAAGCAACGAGCTTCAATTCGACGCAGAGGGACGCAATTGTGGTTTACCATCTGTTGTCGGCGCATTTTACTTTGACCCGTAACCCCGCGTAGGTTTCAGGGGCCTTCGGATCCTTTTTGGGCCCTCCCCGTTCTTTGACTTGCCTCCCCTTCTTCCGAGGATCGAGGAGGGGAGCGATCGCCGCAGCATTTGTTGTTGGCGAGCGGCGTTTGGTAAAAGGGGCGGGAAGGTGCGCGCGCGTCGCGCGCACCCCCCTCCACTCCTCCGTGGTCCCGTCACTCAGCTGCAACGGTATGTATAAACAGAGGGAGAGTTGAAGGAATTCGGTCGCCTTCACAGGCGAGCCGAGGCCTAGCCACAAAGGGGTTGTTCGGCCAAGAGGCGCTTTATCCCGAATTCCAGATTTCCAGCCGAAGCAGCGCGAAGCGTTGCACTTAAGATGGCTTAAGTCAGGCGGGCTAGAAGCTTGGCTGGAGGCCATCATCACCGATGAATATTTCGGTTCGGGGGTTTCAGAACAAGCTGCAAGACAGCAACCTGGGCACGGACAAGTCGTACCTGCCGACAGTCTTCCACGCAAGGGTCAAGATACCCCCCCGCGAGCCCGAGACAGGGCCGTTGCGCTGGGGAGACCTAGCGCTGGTGCGTTGGGGAGACCTGGCGCTAGCACGGCAAGGTTCCGTATGAGATCCGACGAAAGAAGGTTTGCCCCGTACCCCGTTGTTTCGTTGCACGAGTACGACGTCCCAGGGGCAACGGCATTGGGAAGCACCGGGGCACCCTTCCCTTTCGACAGGCGCAACAAGTACCACCCCAAATGGCGAACAGCAGTAATCCAGCCCACAGGCGGGACTGTGAGGCTGGTCCAAAGCAGCCGCCACACTGCGTGGAGCTTCCCATATGTGCATCTCTTCGCATGGACCTGTCCGCCGTGAATGTCTAGGCGCAAGAGCTTTCGAATATAAACGGGCTTCAGTTGTGACGGTCTTGTCATGAATCTAACTGAGAATGAATTGGAGTGTGAATGAGCCTCAGTAGTACGAGCGCATCTCTGCGCATGAGCCTGGGTCCTCCCGACTACATAAAACATTGCGGATTGGAGCCACAGGAGAAGGGGGCAATCTATAGGAACACGCGTAAAACACCAAGGATTCGTGCCCCAGGAGAGGCCCTATAGGAACATAAGTACACAGGAGAAGGACAATGTATAGAAACATACGTATAACGTCAAGGATTCGTGCTCCAGGTGAGGCCCAATCTATAGGAGCATACTTAAAACACATGGGGTTGGAGCCACTCCTGTTGCCTTCTGAGGCCTCCTGCTCCTGGGGCCTCTCGGGGCCTCATGTTGCCTTCCGAGACCTCCTGGCGCTTCCTCTGGCCTCCTGGGGCCTCTTGTGGCTTCCTGAGGTCTCCCGGAGCTTCCTGGGGCCTCCTAGAGCCTCTTGGGGCATCCTGTGGCCTCTTGAGTCTTTCTGTGGCCTCCTGATGCCTCCTAGGACCTAATGTGGTCTCCTGGGGCCTCCTGGAGCCTGTTGGAGCCTCCTGTGGCAGCCTGAGGAGAATCTGTGCCCACGAGTCTGGCCACCGATCGAGACATCCTCAAAATCTGGCCCACCTGGGAGGTGAAAACGAGCGCCTCGCTCGAGACATCCTCCAATCCTCCAAATCTGCTCCGAAAGCGAAGGATGTTGGGACAAAAAGCTGGCAAACCGCTTGAGACATCCCCACAAAACAGCCGCGAACGGGACCGTGAGATAACCCTTGGCGGCTCCCTTTAAGGGAGTGAAAATGAGCGCCTCGCTCGAGACATCCTCCAAATCTGCTCAGACAGCATAGGATGCTGGAGCAGAAAACAGGCAAACCGCTTGAGACATCCCCACAAAACGGCAGCGAACGGGACCGTGAGATAACGCCTGGCGGCCCCCCTGAAGGGGGTGAAAATGAGCGCCTCGCCCGAGACATCTTCCAAATCTGCTCCGAAAGCGACGGATGTTGGGACAGAACACAGGCAAACTGCTCGAGACATCCCCACGAAACGGCCGCGAACGGGACCGTGAGATAACGCAATCGGCGGTTCTACTTAGGAGGGTGAAAATGAGCGCCTCGCTCGAGACATCCTCCAAATCTGGACAGGAAACAGGCAAACTGCTTGAGGCATCCCCACAAAACGGCCGCGAACGGGACCGTGAGATAACCCTTGGCGGCTCCCTTTAAGGGAATGAAAATGAGCGCCTCGCTCGAGACATCCTCCAAATCTGCTCCGAAAGCGAAGGATGCTGGGACAGAACGCAGGCAAACCGCTTGAGGCATCCCCACAAAACGGCCACGAACGGAGCGTGCGTGAGTCTCAGCATGAGTAAGTCTGAGCAGGAGTAGGTCTGAGTATGAGTAGGCTTGAGTATGAGTGATTTTGTGTGTGAGTACGTCTGGGCACGAGTAAGTCTGAGTGTGAGTCAGTCTGTGTATGAGTAAGTCTGGGCATGGAGAGGAGAGGGGAGGAGAAGGAAAAGAAGGAGGAGAAATCGGCGGCGTCCAACAAATTTCTCATTGCGTGGAGCTCCCCATCTGTGCATCTATTCGCATGGACCTGTCCGCCGTGAATGTCTAGGCGCAAGAGCTTTCGAATATAAACGGGCTTCAGTTGCGACTGTCTGGTCACGAATAGAATTGCGAATGAATTGGAGTGCGGATGAGCATCAGTAATACGAGCGCGCCTACGCGCATGAGCCTGGGGCCTCCTGAAACCTATTGGGGTTTCCTGGGGCCTCCAGGAGCCTCTTGGGGCCTCCTGGGGCCTCCTGGGACCTCCTAGGCAGGATTCGTGCCCCAGGAAGGGCCCAAATTATAGCAACATGGTGGAAGAGAAAATGGCCAAACCGCCTGAGACATCC